GAACGATTCTGAAATACATCGGAAAAAGGATAAAACACAAAGAAATCAATGAACCAAAGATCACCTTTAACCAGTTCTCCGCCCAGCTTCTCCACGAACACATCTGAAAACATAGGGGGAAAAGGTAATATTTCATAATCACTACAATAGGACTAAAGGAGGAGGCAGATCCGCGACCAGATCCGCGACCGGATCCGCTAAATTGGCTAAGAAGGGGGCAAGGTCATGTTAGAATGCATGGACAAACAACAACAAATTTAAAAAAAAATCATAATCACTAAAATAGGACTAAAGGAGGAGGCAGATCCGCGACCGGATCCGCTAAATCGGCTAAGAAGGGGGCAAGGTCATGTTAGACAAACAACAAATAAATAAATAAAAATCATAATTACTACCTCTCTGAAAAAATACACTTCCGCTCGCGACACTGACAAACGGAAAACTGCGGGTGGAGGATATTCCCTTGGACGGACGAGGCCTTTGCGCATGATTTGGGGGCGACGCGCGCCTCTTGCTTGTCCCCTCCCCCGCGCTTCCTTTCTTCCGACATCGGAAACGACGAGGCCTGAGGGTAATGCCGTTCGATCCGAGATCGTTGACAAGACAGGTTTGCCTGGCGACAGAGCTACTTTTTTCACCAAGTACCATGACGTTCCCAAGAAATGACACTCTCAGATGTAGATCTATTCCCGGAAATTACACCAGCCGGAGGCGCTGTTATTTTTAAGTCGACTGGTTGTTTTTTTAGCTATTCCGGGAAAGCATGAAAAGCTGGGCAAAGCATGTTAGCCGATTTCTTCCAGAACGGTCTTTGCCTTAAGGATAAAAGCAGATCAACGCACAATGAACCCTGAACGTTACGAAGGGGAATCCTTGGATGAGCTAAAAAAAAAAAAAAAAAGGTATTAACCGTGTGGATGAATAGGAGTTGTATTTAAGGAGCCCCCCTTTTACCCCTCTGTTTCTCTTTTCAAGAGTATACTATGAAGACGAATAAAAAATTTGCTACTCTATCTTTAGCACAAGGGAGAGAAAAGGAGTCCAAAAATAATTCCAGGGAGTATTTTGAACCCTTCTATAACGTGACGTCATGTTTGACGCAGTGTGACGTTGTGAATCTTTCAGGACATCTCCGGGGAGGAAAGAGTCCAATCCCTTTAATTAGATTTATTTCCACCTGGGAAAGAGGAAGAAACGGTCAGGTGAAATGATAGATTCGCTTGGGAGCCATCTGCGACGTAAAGTTGTCTGAACCAAGGCTCCCAAATCCAAAGCGGGAAGACGCCTAAGTCGCATACCAGAAATTCCATCCAAGGTAAGATAGAAATAAGGATGGCATCGAGTAAGGCAACCGTTCATACCGGGTTCGGTGGTGTTCCACTCAAATACTCGTCCGGTATTAAGGAGGCCCGGGTTCAAACCGCCTTTTTTTTTCTTGCCCTCCTTCGGTTCCTCTTTGAGCAATTGGGTCGAGTCCATGGGAATCGCATTTTACTTTTTTCTTTAATTTCTGTGATTTTTTTTTCGCTTTAAATTACGTGGGTAAAAATATCTAAATTTGTTTGTCCTAAAATATGCTTCTGGGGGACGGACTCGTCGGGCGCCATCAGCTGTTCCAAATTTTGCCGGGAATGATATTTAAACTTAGGATTAATGATTAATCCGATCACGCGTCGATCGCATGAAATTGCACAAGCAAAAAATTGGCAAACTCGGATTTCTGTATGTTGAAATCTGAAAGAAAGATTTCTTGAAAATAATTCGGGATTGTAGTGGATTCCTTTTAAAATTTCCAGGATTTTAAAATTCTCCAATTTTTTTTTTTTTCATTTCTATCGTGGCCTTCTTTTTATTGGAGACGGAATTCCCCTGCTTGAAAACGCTTCTTTGGAAATTGGGAAGGCAGGGACAAGATTTATTCCCTTCTTTTTAAATTCCATTCATTTTTTTCCCGGTCTCCGGAACGACTTGGAGTGCAGTGGAGCCTTAAACCAGTCTTGAGACAAAATCGGCCGAGATCATCACTCGCGAATCAATTAATAAAAAATATTGGATACATTTAATTGAAAGAGATTGCGGACGGGCTGGTTCCGCCGATTCCGCGATCTTCGGCTCTCGATGCTTCTCTTATTTTATCATTTTATTTCGTTATACAATTTATTAAATAAGCGACCTAGTGGAAGACTTTCACGAACTTCGGGTCTAGCCTAAGCAACTTTGGGTCGGGATTCCGAGAAATATAGGGGCGCTGTTCTCATCATTTACACGTCCTTGGGGAAAGTCCGTATCGAAGGTGTGAACACCCTTAAGTTGGACGGGGCGGGGCGGGGCGGGGCGGGACGGGGAGCCTTCTTAGAATGCCTCTCTCTCCCGTTGTAGCGTTAGGGATGGCACGGAGAGGCACGACCGTCCAGTTGTCCAGAGATGGGCATTAGTCCAGAGGCGGTCGTCCTTTGGATGTCCATAGGATGCCACCGCCATGGATCCATTTCTTCTCGTGCATTCTCAGCTTTATTAGAGAATTTCCCTACGTGGAACACTCAATTAGTTCCTTTTCATTTAATAAAGGTTTTAAGAAATGGCGTTACGAGCATCCTATCATGGATTAATTTTGTTCTTTTTTTTTCTTTTCATATCCCATCTTAGGTCGCAACCCAGAAACTTCAATTAACATACAGCTAGTGTGACCTCTCAATTGGACCATTCCATGATTTCCTTTAGATTTCGACATTATGAACGAAACGATGTGACAGACCTTCTTTGGGCATCCATGGGACGTCCAGCAAAAGAACTTCCAAGGACAACTAATTATGGACTTCCATTGATGGCATCCCCGCCCCGTTGAGGTCTTTCATCTGCCCTGACACCTAGCAGTTCATTCAAGAAGTATAAAGTTCCCATAATATAAGTGAGGTCGCGCTCATCCCGCCACTATATGTCTCCCGATTCCTTAGATGCTAACGAATTGTTCTGCAGAAGCTTTCATCCTCTTCTCGATAATTTCCCACGTACAAGCCTAAGGAAAGAAGTCATTCTAGTTAATTAATTTGTAGAGAGACGTAACATAGCTCAAGGAGACTCCCGGCAATTCTTGCACGTTAGATGGTGAGAGTGCGGTTCCCCTTGTCAAGTATTAATGTTCCATTAATTGACAATGGGAGAAACGATCTCTTGAATGAGAGACAGGGATTGGAAATTGAGAGTAACGTTTCAATAACATTAGACGTTCAAAAATTTTCACGTTCTCCTATTTCTGCCGAGGAATGTGAGGGAGGCGCGATCGTCAATACGCAGAAAAAGCTCCTTTCTCCCCCCATGAATATTTATGAGCAATGGACATTTTGCTCCATTGATCTCTGGGGTTACTATCGCTGCACCCCTCAATGGTGATCCAAAAGCGTTCCCAGAGGGAATCTCCAATGGATCCTAAGAGATGGATATCCAATAGACCATCCAATGGAAATGTCCAAGGATTATCCTTGGACATGTCCATTGGATGTCCGTTTTTTTATGATCCATTGGAGATACCCTATGGGAAAGCTGTCGTATGACCATTGAGGAATGCAGCAGAAGCGATAGCTAATCTCATCCTCAGGAAGGAATGAGCAATATTTGCATGCTAATTAATATTCATAGCATGGGTGAAAGAGTACTTTCTGTGATATCCGCGCACTCGAATTCCTGGAAAGGAAAGGATGAAAAGCGATTAGATGGAAAGAAAGATATTACCGCGATGTTTATCTCTCGATCAAGAGGCTTTCACTCGTTGCCAAAGATATCATATTGCGCTTGAGAACGGAATGTACTACCTTGAGAAGAGCAACCACTCTCTTTCCATACAATGTGCAAGAATTCCCGCGAATCTTCTCGAGCCGTGTTACGTCTCTCAACAATCGAACTAGCTGAAATGACTTCCTTATTTCGGCTTGTACAAGGGAAACTATCGAGTAGAGGATGAAACCTTCCGCAGAACAATTCATTAGAATTAAGGAAATCAGGAGACATACAACAGTGGGTTCATTGCCACCGGGCTTATATTGTGGGAACTTCGTGTTTATTGAATGAACTGCTAGATGTCGGGCCAGATGGATGTCCTCAACGGGGCGGGGGACTCCATCCAAGGACATCCATGGGTAGACCCTTAGAGGATGTCCTTGGAAGTTCCTTTGCTGGATCTCCAATGGATACCCATAGAGGGACTGACGTGTCGTTTCGTTCCTAATGTCGAACTCGATATGAAATCATGCACTGGTCAAAGGATAGTATCACAATGTCCTTATAATGATTAAAGTTTTGACCCTAAATGAGACATTTGAATTTAATAAATACAACTACAGAAATCCCTGTAATTAACGTAATTGCAGCAATTTTTCCATTTCCATATTGAATAGAAACAGATTCAAGACTAGGAAAAAGACTAAGTGAAAACTGGTCAAATTCTTTTCTCGAATGGGCTGGGAAAGAATGAAATGAAATGATGTTTCGCGTCATCACAGTGCGAATGTGAATTTTTTCGTTCACAAAATGGGAATTTTCTCCTTGAAATCGTGAATCTGCCCTAAAATCATCACCAAGAGTGAAATATATTCGTATCCATCATTCCAGCCACAAATCCCAACCACTTATCTTCCATCATGAGAAAATATCTGGAAAGCAAGCAAGGGTGATTCGAAAGGGTAAATCGAATGGAATGGATACGAATGGAGTGTGTGTGTATGTGCTTGCATGTGTTATTACGTGCGTATGCGTGTGCGTGTATACTCTTCTCGAGTTTGATGAGAAGAAAGCGGCCGTCTCAACCGAAGATCCGTTGTTGGATCCAGGCAGCGTATCTGGAGGCACTGGTGCATCCGCTGATACAGCCAACCGTGATGCAGCCATTCACGATGTTCCAGTTCCCGTTGCAGTTCCCGTTGCAGTTCCCGTTCCGGTTCCCGTTCCAGTTCCCATTTTATAAATGCTTTTATAAATGATACACGGAACCCATTGCTTCCCATGAAGGACTTTATTAACACAACTGTATAAATTTATCCATTTCCAAATTAAAAAAAAAACACATTTCAGACTTGGAACAAATAAAAGTGAAAACTGGCCAAATCCTTTTCTAGAGTGGGCGGGGAAAGAAAGAAATGAAACTATGTTTCACGTCGTCACAGTGCGAATGTGAAAATTTTCTTAACAAAATTTGAATTTCCGTGTGAAATCGGGAATCTGCCCCGAAACCATCACTCGATTGAAATATATTCGTATTCATCATTACAGCCACAAATCACAACCGCTCATCTTCAGTAATTTTTCCTTGATAACCTAGCAGAAACAGAATAAACATTCTGCATGATCCATCAGTTGAAAAAGACGGAAAGTTGTTTCGAGAAAATCTTTCGAAAGCAAGTAAGGGTGATTCGAAAGGCACAGAAATCCTGAAATGCAACTCCATAAAAGCTCGGCATTTTTTCCCCATCAGGGTAAATCGAACATGAAGGGAATAGGTGTGCGAATATGTGCATGAATGCGTGTATATGAGCGTGAGTGCGTGAATATGTGCGTGAGTGCCCATCTCGAGTCTGACGCGAAGAAAGCGGCCGTCTCAACCGGTGATCTGCTGTTGGAGCCAAGCGGCGTACTTGGAGGTCCTGGTGTATCCACTGATGCCAGTGCTGCACTTCCCCACGGTGAACGAGGTGATCCCCGTGACGTAGGCTCGGCCGTTGTATCTCACCACCAAAGGTCCACCGCTGTCTCCCTAAAGGCCGGTCACAGACGGTAGAGGAAAAGAACAGACAGCTAGACGTTACTCCTCTGAAAATGGTGTGATCGCACATGAGGAAATGAAAAGATCGAACAGCCTCTTCCTGCTTTTCTTATCTATTTCAGAACGAAAAAGCAGGAAAAGGCTGACGATTACCAAGTCAAGATTACTGAGACTATCTCTCTTGAAATCATTCTCGCTCGTGACCGAATCATTCCTAGGTGTCTTGTCCTTCGGCCAAAATGCCCAAGAATGCAAGCCTCATCGGAAGATTCCTAAGAAAAGGATTTAGAGGACCTGTTTGGCGAAAATAGCAAATCGAATCTGAATGTGACACCTCCGGTGTCAGCAGCTACGTGAACGAAAAGAAAGAGGAAACTAGACGGGACAGCGATGACTGCCTCGTCTTCAGACTGGAATGAACCGATTCTTTTCGTTCACTTGAAATTGCATTTCACGTCTAGAAAAGGTCGGATTCTGGAAAGGAAGGTAGTATTGACAGATGGAAAGAAATGCACCTGACAGATTCCGCTATTCGGGGCATCTCCCTGGACGCAAATGATGGACTCGTCAGTGAGGCTGGAGCAAGAGCTGACAGAGGAGGACACCGTCACGTCCAGCTTTTGCAAAGTGGTCGTTTGTGTCGTGCCAGCAGAGTTGATGTACCCCCAGCCGTATGCCTTCTGGTCGCAGGAGGAGATGGCCTTGCCCAGGACGGAGTCGCTGGTGGGGAAGCAGATGGGCTGGATGCTCGGGGTGAAGACCAGAGGCGTCGCCAAGCGCACGAGGGCGATGTCGTGCCCGTTTCCGAGGTTATCTACGACGAGAACAAGGAAACCCATAAAACTCTTCGTACGCCCTCGTATTTCTTGGCTTCGGTCGGTCTCTCGGCTCACGCTCTTCACGGAGTGAAGCGAGGTGATGAGAATAACGATCGTCTTACTTATGTCGAAAGCCGTATCGTACGTGAACGAAGCAGCAACTTGCGTCGATGCCACCGAACTATCTGCACTTCCCACCGTCACTGCCACGCTAGCGGCACGCTGGCTGCAAAGAGAAATGAAATTCATTCATTCGACCCGAACATCATAGCGCAGAACGATCCAGAAATACAATTGCCATTTATTCTTCCCGTATTTTTTCATGTTCGCGGATGTGATCGTAGTTTTTGCTGCCAAATTCAGCACTAGCATTAACATTTTTGTTCGATGAACTGCAATGGCGCACGTTGCCGAAAGATTGACGTAAGACTGCAAAAATAAGCTTTTCTTCTCTCCCCTTAACCATAAAAATGTTTAAAATTCAATCGAGAAGAGAAACACAAAGAAAGAAGGCACGCCGACCAGACTGACTTGTTTTCGTCGATGACACAATGAGCAGCAGTAAGGACAAGACTCTCGCTGATGATGGAGGCACCGCAGTTCCAAACCGTGCCGTCGATGTGAGTTGTTCTTAGGAAGGCCATGAAGGGGGCTTCCGTGATGGTGGCCGGAGACCCGCCGTAGATCAGGTCGTTCTGTCTACCCAGGTTTCTCATCACGGACCCCAGGAAGCCGTTCCACATCCGATTCATCCTGGTTCGCCTCGTCGAGGATGAGCTCGACACTCCGCATGTCTTGGTGGTCACTGAACAAGGAAGGTCCATTTCAATTCATACCGGATCCCTAACATAATAATCTTATAGGATTCTTCCAAGATTCCTAAAAGGTTTGTGAAAAAACTCATAGGATCCTATAGGAATTTTCTGCAAGGGATGTTACTGAGGAGGAATTTCTACATTCTTCGTATTTAAACGCAACATAGGGAACATTTTGCCGCTCGTTTTGCAGACTTCAAATAGTGCCATTAAGCTCACCAGGTTGTATATCTGTAATGCTAAAAACAACCTGGTGTGCTGTTTTGTGTTTCCTGGCGGATATACAACCGCGTGGGTCTTGTACCTTTACCCGAACTCCACATACAGGAGGCAAAATCCATAGTTTCGGCAGCACCAATTACTTTTCTTCAACTTCCTCGTATTCCTCTCCGGGAGCATCAACAGGAACGAAATTAGGCATGTTCCTTCCTCCCTCAATACAAAATAGCTACAGCAAATTTGAAGTTCCATCTTCCCGCCCAGTTTAAAATCCCGGCTAGAAACAGCTACAATTTCCAGCTGGACTCCAGCTGTAAATTCGGACCCATCCCAACTGGGTAACAGCTGGAAAGTAGTCATTTCCAGATTTGCTCCTAATTGCAATATCACTAACTGAATGAGAATCTTTTTGTTGACTATTTTTGTCGGAGGTCCATCTACAGGAACAGCTGATTTTCAACTGTAAATTTAGCTACGTTCCAGCTGTAGGGTCCTCTTAATAAAAATTCCGACTGAAAATTTCCCAGCTGGAAACAGCTATTAAAACCAGCTGCATTCCAGTTGGAAAATTCCAGCTAATAAACAACTGGTACCTACTAATTTCCAGCTCTTTGCCAGCTGGAAATGGTCCGAATTTACAGATTTGGTCCAGCTGGAATATTCCAGTTGGGATTTGAAACTGGGCGGAGTTGTGAAGAACACTGAATCTCGTTTTTGGAATATGTGAATTTCATTCTGTTTATTATTATTATTTATTTCTACCCCCCCCCCTCCGTTGAGAAACGGCCTTTGCGACGATTGAGCAATATATTTGAGTGGATGAACCTTGTCTCCCCCTTGATGTAGTCTTCTCAATTTATAAAAATGATTCGNTCCGATCGCGGCGCGTTACGCCAGCCACTCGACTCAAGAACCTCATTTCGACAGCTTGTATTCGCAATCTGGTGCTTTCGGTCGTTACCCAAAGTTCATGACCATAGGTTAGGGTGGGGATATAAACACTCTTAAAAACCGAGTGTTTTGCTTCCCGAGAAACTTCCGATCTGGTAACCACGGTTCGCCAAAGTTCCCGCAGAACTGCAGAAGCCTTGGAGATGCTGTTGGAGCCGAAGAGGAGTGAGATCTATTGGGTCCTAGCCGTTTTACTTCGCGAGTCAGTGAGGTGTGATTTAATAAAAGTCGATATTATATTTACATCCTATCTGAAGGATTAAGGACTGATACCCCGAAGATGAAACGGCTCTTGCAGATCCAGCTGGCCGGAAGGACCTTATCAGGTGTCCTCGTGCGAAAGAGCTGGGAGCTAAGAGGAAGTGTGGGTACGCAAATTGAAGTTTGATCACGTGTGAGAAAGGAAAAGACTTCCTTGGGAAAAGGAAACCATTCTCTCTCCATGCGATGTGCAAGAACTGCCAGGAGTCTTCTTGAGCTATGTTACGTCTCTACGTTTCGACCTTAGATGGGGGTAAATCACTTAAACAAGAACTTCAATTCTCTAGTCGGACAATCGGTGATCCTGGTGTTGACTATGAGATTCCAAACGAGTAGTTATGCTAAATATAGGGAAAATACGGGCTTTCTTTAGACGTGTTCGGTGGCTATTTATGTTATACTGTTAGGGTAGTCCGCTATGTCTGGCGGTCTGTGAGAAGCATTATAGTCTTCGCGCCCCAACATGGAGGCATAAATAGGGAGGGGAGGAAAATCAACAAATTCATAGACGTATTCCTTACGTGTCCATCTAGGGAGGCGGAAAGCACATTTAATTAGGGAACGTTCTAATCTGGAAAGTGGATCTAGTTGGGGATCCGTACAATGGGCTCAGACTGCAAACGCATATGTAATTACGGGTCTTAGGTAGGCTTTCTACAGCTTCAGGATGACTTTCGAGTTACATTTATTTGCACCGGCCAGGATTTTAAGGCACGTAAGCTTATTATAAGCGTTCATTTTGATAACGTTGATATGGGGGATCCAAGAGTGACAGTCGTTAATTGTGATTCCCAAGAATTTTACGTTGTTGGCTCTCGGTATGAGCTTATTATGGACAAGATTGCAGTAGCGCTTTTGCCTCCGGAAGAGGAGTGCTGTCGACTTAGCGGGATTCATCTTAATACGCCAGTTGTTGCAGTACCTTTCTAGTCCGTTGAGAGCAGTCTGTATTACTTTTTCGGCCGTACTGGGGCTGCGATGTGCGTACCAGATGGCCATGTCATCCGCGAACTGGGAAGCCTGAATTTTTGTAGGAAGAGAGTTAGGAAGGTCGTGCACATAGAGTATGAAGAGAAGAGGAGAGAGAACGGAACCACGAGGAACACCAGCTGTGAGGGGGAGTTGGTCCGACAGGGCTCCGTCGTAGCGGACTGCAAGCGTACGATCCGAGAGGAAGGATTGGATCCATAGAGTGAGAGGGTTGGGAAGTTTGAAATGATGTCCCGCATGCCAAATTTAATCGTAGGCTTTTTCTACGTCGATAAAGACTGCTTTAAGATGCTGGCCAGCTGCAGATTTAATGATGTCATGCGTTAGGCGGGTTAGTTGGTCAGTGGTGCCCCTATTTCTTCTGAAACGAGATTGCATATCAGGTAGTTGATTCGTTTCTTACAGAAAGTTCGTTAATCTGTTTATAATTATGCGTCCGAATATTTTTTTGCAGAAAACCGAGTAGGCTGACGGGTTGGTACGATTCAGATAAATTGAGCATGGACCATGTGGAGATTTAAAAAAAATGAACATGTCTCTTCGGACACACTGGCCAGAAGTACCCAGAGTCTCCTTCCACCGGATTACTTCCTTAAATAGGTCTATCTTGAAATTCTTATGCCTTCCCTTATGTTGTAAATGGGAAAAGATCAGGCACTGCATGAAAAATGCAGGGTACATTTTATTTCAGGGCATCAGGATAAGAATCACCGAATCGGCGCTTAGGCGCCATCTGGTGTCGATTCAAAGAACCTATTTCCTGTTGAAATAATGCAGAAACTCCTCGTAGAAACAACATTGACAATACGATGAAGAACGAATATGCTCCTAATAGCCTCTGAACGGCCTCCATTAATCACGAGAACTCACCGAAAGCCGAAAATACGGATAACTTACAAATAGCTTGTATTTCATCGATGTTTTTCGTTTTTCGTCGAATTCTGAACTTCAACCAAATCTCAACGTTTAAACTTTCTCTCAATGACAACGTTGCTGAGCTGAATGGGTGTCCAAGGCATCCCTAACACCACGACGGGAGAGAGGCATTCTACGCACCTAAAACTTCCCCGCGTATAACCTTTTAGAGTCCCCTTTCATCCTTGGAAGATGGATAACTTACTCATCCAGAGATCTTCGCCTGTATATTTAGCGGGATCCCGACCCAATGTCATCTAGACCCGACCCGAAGTCATCCTCTGGTCGAGTATTATGATGAAATCAATAACAAAATGTAATAATAAAATTAGAGAAGCACCGAGACGGACGACCGCGGCATCGCCGGCTCATCCGCCATCTCGCGTCGATCGGCGGAACCAGCCCCCACACAATCTCTTTTAATTAAATTTATTCAATTTGATATTCATTGATCCGTCGCAATAATCTCAGCCGATTTCTGCTCGAGACGAGTTGAAGGCTTTGCTGCACTCCAAGTCGATCCGGCGACCAGGAAAAAAAACAAATTGGAAGTATGAATCTTGTCCCTGCCTTAACAATTTCGAGTGAATTGCTTTCAAGCTGGGGAATTCACTCTTTTCGAGTGAAATGGTTCCATGCAAAGGAAATCCATCTCTAGTAAATAAAAAAGGTCAATATGAAAATGAAAGTTTCGAAGAATTTTAAAACCTTGGAAAATTTTTAAGGGAATCCACTAGAATCCGAAATTATTTTTCGAGAATTCCTTCTTTCAGAATTCAAAGGGCAGAAATTCAAGTTTGCACATTCCGTAGCTCGCATTGTTTTGCTTGTGCAATTTCATACGATCGAAACGTGATCGGATTAATTATTCATCTGGCGATTAAGTATCATTCGTGGCAAATATCGAAACAGCTGCTGGCGCCTGACGAGTCCGTCCCCCAGAAGCATATTTTAGGACAAATAAGTATAGATCTTTTACACATGTAATTTAAAGAGAAAGAAAATCATGGAAATGAGCAAAAAAAGTAAAATGCATATCCCATCGACTCAAAGCAGTCGCTCAAAGAGGAAACGATATGAACCAAAGGAGGGGAGAAAAAGTAGGAGGTCGGCCGGGGATCGAACCCGGGCCTCGTGATTGCCGGCAGCGAATGTAACTGCAACACTACCAAACCTCGAACGTCCTTCCTTTCTCTCGGTACATCCTTATTCCTAAATAACCAAGGAAGGAATCCTCCTTAGGTGACGTAGGCGTCATCTCGCTTGGGATCTAGGAACGTTGGCCCTGCCAACTTCACTTCGCAGATGCCTCCCGTGCAGGTCCATCATTTCACCTAACGTTTCTCCATCTTTCACGAGTGGAAACGAGTCTAGTCAAATAGATTGGACTCTTTCCCCCATCCCCAGAGATGTTCTAAAAGGTGCACACCGTCACAAAGCGTCACTATCACATCACATAATAGGAGAATTCAATTTATTCAATGGAATTATTTCTGGACTTTTTTTCTCTCGCTCGTGCTAGTAGTTAATTTTAAAAAATTTATTTTCACAGTATACCTTTGAAAGGAGTAACGGAAGGGTAAATGGGCAGCTCCCGAGAAACGGCTCCCTTTCATCCTCACTGCTACTTCCTTTTTTTCCAGTTTTTCCAAGGATTCCCTTTCGTAACGCTA